TGTGCAACAGTGTTAAGAAAAATCTCCTTCCCGGCCTTTGAAAATTCTTACTCCACCCCCCATATAATGCAAATTTTATCAAGAATATATGAAGGCAAACCTGCTTTATCTCTACCAAGAAATGAAGGCCAAAATACTTACCAAATTTATGAGCCGGGGGCACATTAAAGAACGTAGTGAACCACTGACGAGTCCAGAATGGGGCATTCAAAATAAAACAAACAAACACTGGACTTGTGAAAATTAATAGATTGACCTGACATGGGGCATTACTGTATGAGCCTCATCCAAAGTCCCCTTGAAATGCAAAAGACTGTCATTAGCAAAAAGTAAATGAGAAATATACGGAGCACCCCTACAAACTTGAATCCCATGCCTCTCCCCTCTTCTTTCCGCATTCTGAAGAAGCAAAGAAAGACCCTCGGCGCAAATAATGAAAAATGTAGGGAATCAAAGCATCTCCTTGCCGAAGGCCGCTGGTAGGGATAACAGGATCACTAAGGGTATTATTCCCCAAAACCCTGTATCGCAGAGTGGTGACACAAAGCATAATAAGATTCACCCACCTACTATCGAAGCCCAGCCGCAACATCATGGATCGAAGGAAATCCCATTCCATTCGATCATATGCCTTCGCCATATCCAATTTAAGACCCAGCCAGCCAGAATTTCCACTGCTTCCGATGAAGGAAATGACCAATCTCAGCCGCAAGGAGAATATTGTCAGAGATCAAACGTCCCCCAATATTGCTTGGGTCATTGATGCTTAAGTCATTACTTATTTCATTCTAAAGAGCTATTATATAGGGGCTGTATAATAAATTTAATTTAAGAAACCAGATCACTAATTATCTATTAATAAATTGTTTATTTTGATGGTCTAGAGCAATTCCCCAAGTATTTATTCACCAGCGTGAATAGTTTTTACGGAGTAACCAATGACATATTTTCCAACAAGCATATTTTTGTGGTTGCAATTATGAAAATCCGAACATACATCTAGATATATCTCCATGTGACCATTGAAGGCCTAAAAATCACTGCCAGTCACCACCCCACGCATTATCACATGCCGATGACCCACCAGAAAAAAATTATGATTTCTTAGATTAGATCTACCACACTCTGTTGGTCTACTCTTGACGCCTTTGTTACCATCATCATCCTCTCTCTTTCTCAAGAGATTACAATGAACCTATCCGGTTATGATCCAACGACGCACATGATTCATATCTTTTGTAAAAACTACCCAACCTTAACATTCTCCTTTATTTACTCTTACAAATGGTCTTCAAATACTAGTAACGAGTATAGAACACGCTCCCCCACGGTCATCTCACCATTGAAAATTGTTGTATATGTTCCTAACAGCGCATCTAACCTTGTGCCTATTAACAACCTTACATGCTTGCTTAATTCTTCCTTAATAGGTGTCAGACAAGAATATTAATGTCTCTATTTCATTCATCCTCTTGATCCAGTTACATGTTTGTTACTCGAATTAGCAATCAATCATTATAAGCATATATATGAGCCACCCAATTATTTCCAAACTCGGACATATGGTCCCAGTTTTGTTATACTCACTCCGTCCCATGTTTTTCTTCTTGTATGGGTTTGTCACTCTTTTAAATTAAGGGCCGTTTGTTGAGCGCATGAGATAGGGGTTCTCATATCTACATACATCAAAACTCTTTTGTGGGTGTTTGGTGAAGGTTCAACAAGGTTCAGATGTGATATCTTATGATATCACAACCCTCCCAAATGGTGGTTCTTTGATATTTCCCGAATTTGGGAGACATCAATCCGGGAATTTGATATCTCCCTCAACCACCACCACCCATCATTGCAAGGTACATGCTACTGCCGGGCACCAGACGTTGTCGGCCACCCCCGCCTATCCTATCACTAACAACCATCATTTTATATCTCTCCAAACACTTCCATTTCAGATTTCAAAACTCATACTACTTCCAGATTCAAAACTCATATCAACCCTCCAAAACTCACCAAAAGAGCCCCAAGTAGATATAGTGTGATCGAGTCTTATCATCTAATGTAAAGAGAAATATAATATGAACCACAGAATTCTTTCCTAAAAAATAAAAAGTACAACAACAACGACAACCCAGTTTAATCCCACTTTCCTTAAATAAATTAAAAAGTTGAAGAAAATTCTGAGACATCCCAAAATGGAAAAAAAGAAGAAAATTATAGGGTGGAGAAAATATATTTCATCCTTAGATTGCGTGTCATGTCATATCGAAAATCAACATGGACAATACAATCTAAGGAGGGTTAATAATCAAGCTAAGTCCCCATTTCACTTAGGTTGCAAAAGGGCATACTCAGACTTACTATCTTCATTATAGTGTATTATGACATATTATTTCTATGCGGCTAAAATTGCATATGTCACGCTAATCTTATCCATGGCTTCCATGAGTTACTCGTCCATGGTTGAATTATCAAGAATGTCTTCCTTCATGATAAGATGCACCAAGAAGATTGTATAGAGCAACCACTTGGTTTGTTTGTTTCGCAGGGGAAGTCTAGTTTGGTATGTTGATTACGCTGCAATTCTAAATGACTTAAAACAATCTATGTGTGCATGGTTTGAGCGGTTCATGGTATAATCTGACGATCCTGCATTGGGATTGTAGGTTAGTTCAGTTTTCCACAAAATATATAAGCATGAATTTATCACGTGGGTGTAGAACTGTGTGAGGTTGATCCTTGAATATCACAATGTATTGATGAATCATGTGAGGGTCCTCGGGATGTTGTAGTTCATGTTGTAAAAAACATCAAGAGATCATGGTGCAAGAATTATGTTTTGAATATAGAGATCATAACCATTTGTCCATATTGTCAGATACTATGATGCTCAATCGGTACGATGTATAATTGATAGGCGTTCCACATCTAGGTAATGTAGCATGATTGGTGGTAACTTAATTTCTTGGAAAAGCAAGTAACAAGATGTGATTGCCAAATCAAGTGCCTAGGCAGAATACTTAAAATGACTCTTGTTTCATATGAAATACTCCCTCCATGCTCCCTCACAGTGTATTCGTCTGGTTTGTCTTTTTTGAGTCAAATTGGACGAACCTTAATCATCCATTACTCTCAGTTTGTATTGTATATTAATACAATAAAATAAAATTTTTGAAATTTCTCAACAAGGTAAATCAAATGAAATCATTTTTATACTACTCCCTATGTTTCACAAAACAATTCTACTGTCACTCTTCACCCTTCCCATAAAACACATCGACATTCAGTTAAAATCTCATATTTACCCCTACTAATTATTGCCCTACCTATCACATCATATTTATGCATTAATAATCTACTCATCACATCCTATTCTACCCATCACATCAAGGGAAAAATTGGAAAGTAACACTAATATTACACATTTTTTAAATCCAACCTTTTTCCAAATAAGAATTGCTTTGTGAAACAAAGGTAGTACATTACAATTAATTATTTAATTGAGGTCACAGGTTTGTGTGGTTTGACTCAAAAAAATCAAAGTGGATGAATACACTGGGATGGAGATAGTATTATGGTTGAAACATATTCTTTAGGAATTAAAATTTGGAAGCAAGCAACCATGCACATTGTTCCAAACCAAGTGTTCCATCGAAGAACTACACATATTGAAGTTAGCTACTGCCAAGGAACCAATTCAACCAATATGGCCCAGGAAAGATTATTTATACTCTAACACGCCCCTTCACGTGCAAACATAGTCTTTTCGAGCCTTGCACGTGAAACCTTAAATTTTTTTAAAACTGAGTGGCGCTAAGTTTCAAACTTGAGACCTCTTAGTCAACTAGGCTCCGATACCATGTCAAAGAACCAATTCAACTAAAAGTTCGAGCTTGTGGTTGTGGCCCACAAAAGGTCATATATACTCAAACAGCTACCAAAAAAACATGTTTAAAAATGCTTGGTGCATAAAATTTGTACACTCCATCTTGAGGAGCGTGGAAAGTAGTAAAGTAGTCAAATATAATATGCATATAATTTGTATACTACAGCTTGAGGGGTGTGGAAAGTATTGAAGTAGTAAAAAATAATATGCACCTGGATTTATCCTATTTCATTGCTTAGGTCATTGGTGCTGAAGTCATTACTTAATGTCATTGTAATTAGCTACTCCCTTTGTCCCCTTGGATTTTTGCACAATTTACGATGATTGACTAAAGTTGTTTTCAATTTTTTCCTAAAATTGGCGTAAATTTAATCTTATTTCATTGCGGTCATTGGCGTAAATTAAAAAATAAATTTCATATATTTAAAAACTACATTAAAAGTTCTACAAAACTAGAGGTGGCTTGACTATGTTATTTTAACAAATGATATATGAAATTATGTAAAGAAAGAAGATTTAGTTTGAGCGTTGAATTGTGAATAGTACTACATAATTGTTAAAAATCTTGGAGGACTGAGGGAGTGTTATCTATGGGGCCTTTGTACTAACCATTACAACTAAAGAATAAAGATCATTACGCATAAGCTATATATTCATAAATTATTTATTTAAACTACATAAGTTTCCCAAATAGAACAATCAAGCAAGTACTTGTGTTGACTCATTCACCCAAGTCATTCAGCATTTCAACGAAAGAGGGAAATGAGAATACGCTCAACCATGAAACTAAGTGAAACAAATAGCTCACTTTGAACAAAGAACTTTGACCCTTTCCATACCACAAATTTTGTTGAACTTGCATAAGAAGAAAGAATCACAAACTGCATGGTAAATATAAGTGTGTATGGGTGCATTTAGTGGTAACCTTCATCTTTGTGATCGACACTTGTCATTGCAAAACTCTTGCTGGAGTTGCTGCCTTTGTATAAGTGCATTATCTATGATTGTGTGTGCATTAACTATTAAGACAGGATCATAACATTCAAAATAGAATACAAAAAAAGACAAAAACAAGATACTAATTAGATTGAAAACGTTCATGCAGAAGAAATCACACCTGAAGCCTTGATGAAAGATGAACCTCGGGAGAGCCTACAGAAGACCCATGTTTCCTAATCTCAAAATCTTGACTCGCACTCAAGGATGGTCTGTTGAATGGTTCTATAGCTGACATATGAGATGATGGAACCCTCTCAAAATTTTCTCCATTCATTTGATGACAAACCCACCAGAAAAATTTTAAAAAGAAACTTAGGGTTAGAGATTTGCGAAATTCAACCATTCCACCCGGTGCATTTTCCTTCAGCACAATTTCTTCTTTCAAGGTTTCTAAAGCACCCTGCAGTAACTCTTTGTCCCAACTTTTTCCAATTAAGAATTCTCTCGTCTTAGATGTAACAAAAGAAAGAGGAGCAACCCCGCCAAACACAAGTGACGCATCTAAAACAACCCATTTTTTATTCATTCTTTCAAGAAATACGCGCATCCCTGCATTGACAATTGCAATATCATCATCCCTCCGGTGGGCTTGCTTGAATTCTTTCACAAACTCAAATGGTCTACTCCATGGCAAAAACACAGATAACAATATTTCATTGCTTGCCAGATCCACTTTGCGATAACCCAAGAAGAAATTTTCAGCTACGGACCATCTGATATTTCCCTTGCTGTCTATGATTTGTAGTTTTGCTCTAGCAGCCATCCAAAGAGGATTTAAGTCTGATATTGGACTGGCAGTGCAGATGTTCCCTCCAACAGATGCAACATTTCGGATTTGTGTTCCAGCAAACCACTTTATTTGCTCCATTAGAGCTCTACATGAAGACGTTTCATACAGATCTCGCTCATTAGAAACCCTTTTTAGTACATTAAAAAGCTTTGAGAGTTTAACAGCAGCACCTATTGTTATGCCACCGTTTTCAATGGTTAACTGATTCAGTTCAGGAATATGACTAACAGAGATCAAAACAGGATACTTTATTCTTTTAAGTCTCATTTCAATCCCAACCTCTGAATTACCTACTACAAGTTTTGCAGTTGGGTGTCTATCTTTTAGATCCAACACATCTTGAAGTTTCAAGGGTCGATACCACTTTAATCCATCTGATCCACTCAATCTCAAGTACGTCATTTTTCTTAATAAAAGTTCGGGGGGGAAAATAAGCTCTTTGTTGGTGTATGCAGTTCCATCAATCTCATTAAAAGATATTGGTTTCAGGCCACCACCATCAGTTATGTGTTTATGGTTCTGTTCATCACTTGCGTCTTTCAAACCACAAGAGCATGGCTTACCTGTTGAAGGACAAAGAAACTCTGAATCACCTTTTGATAAACCACTAGTGTATATGGCATCATTAGTTTTGGAAAATACTCGAAATGCATCCACTATTGGTCTATAACCGGTGCATCTACATAAATTGCCCGCGAGGCTTTCTTCAATTTCCTCTTCAGTAGGCAGTTCTTGAGATGATCTAAGAAGTGCATACATGGATATAATGAAACCAGGAGTACAAAACCCACATTGTGAGCCATGAGCACGGGCTAATGATTCCTAAGACACAATAGAAATTATCCAAAATCAGAGTGTAATAATCTTCATAAGGATTTGTAATAGTTAATAGTTATCTCATAGATCTTAAATGGGGAAATGATCAAAGTATGAATGAAGAGAAATGCCTGTATTGGATGCAAGCCATATCTGATACTCCCAACTCCTTCTACTGTAATGACATGCATCCCTTCTACAGAATATATAGGAGCCAGGCATGCATTAATAGCGTGATGCCTAGAAATTAAAGCACACCATAAAAAGAGTTGGTTAATCCACATGTTCATACTGAAACAGCACTAAGGTTAACATTCACTTGTGTAGGTGCGTCCATCATATTTGATTAAGATTTAAGAGCATACGACAAAGAAAGCATGATGTGCAATATGTTTAGTACAGGAAGTAGTTAAAATGAGAAAGAAAAAGTAAAAGATATTTAAAATCTTGAAAAGAGCAAGCTATACCACCTTTTTAGTTTACTAAATGGATTTTTGGAGGCAAAAGCAGCATGCTTAAAGCAACAACAACCGCAAAATAGCACTTAGTTCTACGTAGTTATTTCTTTTTCCTTTCTTAGCTTGTAATTGAAAAAAACAGAGAGCACAGAAGGCACAAAAAAAAGTTGATACTTACAAGCATTTCTTTGAATTCAAATCATAATAAGAGACCATGACCGTGCATGCCCCACAACCACCTTCACCACAACCTAACTTTGTCCCAGTCAGACCAATATCTGCAATTATACAGTCAAGAACATAAGAAATCAGATAACATCATTTCAACAATTCAACTCCTCACTTTTCCTTCTAGTATTTCCTAAGACCTCATCCTACTTATCAAGAATCTTTCTTTGAGCTACTTCACAGGTTCTATACCTTCAATTAAATTTTGTATTTAGGGCCTTTTTCACATGTTTGACAAGCATCATAGATTATAGACTGGAACAACACTTTTCTGCATCTTCTATATGTTGGGTTTACATGGTAGATCCCACAAATAACCCTCATCCCTCCTCAAGAGCGAGCTAAAGTCCAACCATATGGTACAAACTAATCAACACAAGAAGCACAACAACCCAGTGAGGTCCCACAGCTAGGGTCTAGAGATGGTAGGGGTGCACATAATTTACTCCCACCTAGAAAGGGTAGAGAGGTTGTTTCTCATATACTCCCGGCTCACAACAAATGAAATACTCCATTTGTCTCAAAAAGACTTGCACGTTTTCTTTTTTGGTCCCTCCCAAAAAGATGTGTTTGTTTCTATATCTGGAAAGTTTTAGGTGGCTCAATCTTCATAATTATTAGACTACATAAGTTTCACTTTACAAAATATTGTGCCCAGTCAAACTAGGCACATCTTTTAGGGATGAAGGAAGTACGTTAAAACAATCTTATAAATAAAGGTAAACATAGACAAGGACAAGAAAACGATATTCAAACACCAAACAAAAACAGTAAAAGAACCCCTAGACCTAGTTACCTCGAGGAACCCAACCACCCAAAGCAAGATGGAGACCCACCCAAAAAAACATCTAAAGTATAACTCTCATAGACTAATACTTGATCTACTCAACCTCTAGATTCTCATGTCTAACGTTATGTCTTAGCCTCTTAGGTGAGCTTCAAAAGCCTCAAGTCTTGTCTAATCACTTCATTTGAATTCTTCCTTGATATACCTCTACCTTTCATCAAAGTCCAAATCCCTTATTGAAAAACTCTCCCACCTTGTAATAAGTGCATATGTATTCCTTAGCATATGACCAAACCACCTCAGCCTTTATTCACACATCTTATATTCCACCTAAACCATACCTACCATACCCCGCATAACCTTCGTTCATAATCCCATCACTATACCTTCTAAATTGTAGTAAGGTGTCACTTCCAAGTGATTATCCTACTTATATTATTCAATTTATTTGTTGGTTAAACAGAATTCATCACATTAAACATACTTTTTTTAACAAACTTCACTAACTTATTGAAAATTTGATTTCTTTTGACAAAACAATGCTTTGTTTGGGAAAAACATAATTTTTGAAGTAAGATTATGTTCCTCATAGATTGGAAGGAATAACTAAGACTATTAATTACTCCGTACATAAGATCTATAATCATATTCTCCAACGAAGGGAGCTTAGCTTCCTCATGATTCCGGCGAATATTAATCGCCTTTGCTCATGGGTTCTCCTACTCTATTTCCAATCATTTTTCAAAATTAACCCTTTCAAGCCATCTTGTTTTCTAACTCATTCAGAAACAGAATCTTTAAAAAAACAATTCCTACAGACCACGGCTAAGTAAATTTCAGGTTTTTATCGAGTGTCTTGTTATGTCCATTGCCAATATGCTTAAAAGAGACATTTTTAAAAATGTTTTAGGTTCTGATAATTGATAAATAATGGACTAAATCAAAAGAACAAATTGAACTTCCCTTGCTTCTCAATTCTTACTTCCTATGAAGTTTTGGGGGGAAATGCAGCAATGTCTAGCATAAACAATTACTGAGTACTGCTTTTTAGAGGGCAAGCTTGCGTACACCCGACACCCAAAGCTGTTAGAAGCATACTACGGAGTACTATTTATGGGGTTTTTGTTGACGATTTTATGTTTCGAGTAAAACTATAAAAGAAGAAGAAGAAGAAGAAAAGGTATAAACGAACCCCTTAGATATTCAAGAAGAGTCATGTGGGCCAAACCATCACGCAGTATTCGCCTGATCCCATTGACGTATAAGATAGCTTCATTTGATTCTCCAGAGATCCTCTCAGCTTCACTCTCGCTCTTCAAAGAACCCATTTTTTCTGAAGATAAACTTGTGCTCGTGGAGGCTCCTGTTATCAATCAATTTATCAACTACTACCTCCCTCCTGCTATATTCGTCCACTTTTTACCTTTGGAACTGTTCATCTAAACACTTTGACTCATCAAATTCTCTCAATGTGTAAGCCTAAATATAGTCATGTGTGATCTTGTTTAATTTGTCTTAACATATAGATTATTAATATATAATTTCTATAATTTTTTAATATACAAATTACAAGATAAAATGGATTAAAGAAGTGTATTGGATAGGATGCAAAAATGAAAGTAGACAAATATAGTGTGATCGAGGGAGTACTATTGGATTGATTTATGATGACGGTTTCGAGCAACTACACAACGGATAGGGTGTATCCTCCAGCTCACATAATTTCCAAACGTGGTGGGTGTATTTGATATTTTTAATGAATTGACAATTTTAATCAATAGTGAGTATATGAATAGTGATTTGGCATTATTTTATTTTATATTATTTATTGATTGAATATAGTGATCAAATTAATAGTTTTTTGGAGTTTTTTTACACTATTTATCCCTAAACTTTTTATAAATTGCATGAATTCACTCTAAATTTCAATATTTGCATTAATGCTCCTTAAACTTTTAAAAATATTACACGAAAAGTCTCTCTGTGCCAAACTTTGGAGCGTGTTAATTAAGTGCTCATCAATATACGTATTGGAATTTGATTAGGATATCATAGATTGATGAACAGGTTATGACGAGCTTTATCGACTGATGTATGGCCTTTGAACTCAGTTACAGACGACTAAATCGATAATTATTATATATGGTTTAAAGAAGTTAAAAATATATGAGTAGAAGATAATGTTTGGAAGAACGTATTATAGAACTCACGTGTATATGACTTTAAATGAATTCACACTTATACTCGATAAGCGTGTGATTAAATTAATAGTTTTTTGGAGTTTTTTTACACTATTTATCCCTAAACTTTTTATAAATTGCATGAATTCACTCTAAATTTCAATATTTGCATTAATGCTCCTTAAACTTTTAAAAATATTACACAAAAAGTCTCTCTGTTCCAAACTTTGGAGCGTGTTAATTAAGTCCTCATCAATATACTTATTGGAATTTGATTAGGATATCATAGATTGATGAACAGGTTATGACGAGCTTTATCGACTGATGTATGGCCTTTGAACTCAGTTACAGAAGACTAAATCGAGAATAATTATATATGGTTTAAAGAAGTTAAAAATATATGAGTAGAAGATAATGTTTGGAAGAACGTATTGTAGAACTCATGTGTATATGACTTTAAATGAATTCACACTTATACTCGATAAGCGTGTGATTAACGCACTCTCAAATCTGCCGTAGAGGAATCATTGGTGTAACATTTTTAAAAATCAAGAGACATTGATGCAATTTTTAAAGTTCAAGGAGACTTCCTGCAATTTTTGAAAAGTTAATGGTTAAATAGTGTAAAAAACTTGTTTTTTTGAGTTTATTTTTTTCTTTTTAACACTCTGCTTTGTTTTTCTTTCATAAAATATATTAGTAAAAAACTTTTAAATATATTAATATATTATATTAAATGTATTTTTTATTCGAATATTATAGTCTAATTTTTTTATATTTTAATTCATTATATATACACACACACATGTATGTATGTGTGTGTGTGTGTGTATATATATATATATTGTTATTCAAACATTTGACAACAAAGCAAACCGTGATAATTAATAAATAATGTTTTTAGAATTATATATGTATACGAGGTAAACAACACTTCCTAATTTTTGATTTTGAATTAAATTTTTGCATTAAAAAAGTTGATTTAGAGTCATTCACGTTTATGAAATAATTAGTTATACATATCTTCTGTGAATAAATTTTATGATTTTATATTTTGGTTAGTGTTCTTATGCCAAAGAAAAAGAAAAGTTTTGGTCGCTACATATTTTGAAAAAATGAAAACTTTGGGACTCCTCATTGTATGACTAGATTTAATCTTTTCATTCAACTTTTAGTTGTCTCTATCTAACATTTTGACCATTAGAGAAACACAAATTATTTTTTCATTTATAAGGGCCAATATCTACAAAATTTGACTAATACAATCAAATTAGAAGACTAAATCCATGGAAAATGAGTATTGTGGAAGTATTTTGGAACTTAATAAAATTTTATACACATGAGTTAAAACTAAAATAATTCGTATTTGTAACTATCAAAAAATTTCAAAATCAACTTCCATATAAAATAATTTTAGTAATTGAGTATGTGATATAATTGTTCTCTCTAATATAATATAAATTACTTATTCTAAAAATATATATGTGATAGAATTTAGGATGGGTATGGACAACTCGATTGGGCTATAAGACACTTGGGTTGAACCGTATTAAAAGATTGAATCCAATCGATTAGTTAGTCCAACTCAAGAGCTTATATACCGGTTATTTTACTCTTGAACTTCCGATGTGGGATACACTCTAACACTCCCCCTCAAGTGGACAACCGGGCCATTTTGAATCTAACCAGTTGACCACTTGCAAATGAACTCTCATTCCCTTGATTTTTTTTTTGAGCGCCAACACCTAAAGGACCACGAGCCGCTAGGTATGGACTTCCAGACGAGCAATCGTGTTAAACGGGCCACAGGCCGTTGGGTACATACTCCATACGAACAACCGGGCTAAAGACTAACGGGCCGCTAGGAATGAACGTCTAGACGGACACCTTGACAAACGAGGTGGACCAAAATCTGCTTTGATACCATGATAGAATTTAGGATGGGTATGGACAACTGGATTGGGCTATAAGACACTTGGGTTGAACCGTATTAAAAGATTGAATCCAATCAATTAGTTAGTCCAACTCAAGAGCTTATATACCGGTTATTTTACTCTTGAACTTCCGATGTGGGATACACTCTAACAATATGTTTAATGAAAAATTTGCTTCATATAGGACTTGAAGTTAGTACATTTTCGCATATATGACCAAATATGTTTTCTTCCCTTAATAGGCTTTATTTTCGTATGAACTGTCACAAACGCCTCCTTATCTGTTATTTTTGTTTGGGTTTTCTTTCTTTTTTAATATGTGTTTACATTGTTGGTTCGGTACTGCCGGTCTCCTCTTGTGCTCCTGCCAAGGATTTCTTCTTGCGCCTGAAATTTAAACAAAAACAGAGAGAGTGAAGCGTCGTGCCGTGGATTAATACCACTGCCTTAGAAACGATTTCGCCTTCACCGGTGCAGTTGATCAAAGGCGTCGTCCCCCAAGGATAACACGGAAGCCGACCTTTTTGCGCACCCACAAAAGCTGGAAGGAACTGTACAGATTATGCTCAGCAAAGGGAAATAAAAATCTGCAGAAAATTTGCATAAGGGATTTTCATATGGAGTAGAAGCAATGGGAAGAAAAATCTGCAGAATGAATTTGCATATGGAGTAGTTTTCGTTTTGGTTTTTCCCTGGTAATGCACCTCTGCCAGAACTCAATAAATAAGCAAAAGGAGATGGAGAGGTTATTGTGGTTGAGAAGTTTGTGGGAAAGTTGAAGAAGTGTACGGTGATGCCAAAAAGTAGGAGTCAATTTGAATTGATCCACTCACTCCACCAATTTGAAAAATAAAAGGATTAACACTTCTTTGACTAAGTAAAATTAAACAATTAAAATTAAATGAAAAGAATTAGTCAAAATAAAAGAACCTCCAGAAGGGCCTTGCATTACACAACAACCCCCCACTAATGCAAGGATGACAAATTTTTTAAAAAACTTTCAATACTGAGCAAAATAAGGTTTGATACTTAAGTGTTAGTATATGTTATATTTGAACCAACACATAGTGAAATGAGGTCACTCCATAATCTAGAGAGAGAGAAATAAATTTCTTGAACTCTCTTGATGTCAAGAGATAACCCGATAACACATATCTCACCTTTCTTCATGTACGAGTTCCGCGATAAACGACACTCAAGATTGGCAACAAACCTCGGGATGCTCATAAGTGCTCTAGAAAACATCCCATAGTTTTTCATAGAAGGTCGCCACACCTTCACACTTACGTAGGTGATTTCATCAAGTCTACCTCAGCGTAGACCACCAAACTGGCTATGAAAACATTAAGAGTATATAAAAATACTCACCCTCACAAATCAATTTGTATATCCATCAAGTCCAACGGACCACCCAAACAAGGCTATGGATCACATAGAGTATTAAACCTCAACACAACACACCATAGGAATGGAAAACAAAATAAGAAAGATGAGTCTTTCCATAGCTTCGTTTGACCATTAAATTTTGCTAAGCAAAATACTAATGGTGTCAACTATGAATTCCTCAACCAATGGACTTAAGACCCATTCCCCTCGATGTTTCAAGGACTAGCTTTCTATTAAGTCCTTTAGTCAATGGATCAGCGAGATTCCTCTCTGATTTAACGTACTCCAGAGAGAGTACTCCATTCTCAATCAGCTTTCTCACAGTAGTATGTCTTACCCGTATATGCCTTTTCTTACCATTATACACCTTATTCTTGGCAACGCTTATAGCTGCTTGTGAATCGCATAACATAGAGACGGGTGGAGCAGGCTTGCCCCAAAGAGGAATATCTGCAAGTAGGTTTCTCAACCATTCAGCCTCTTGGCCTGCTAAGTCAAGTGCAATAAATTCTGACTCCATAGTGGAACGAGCAATACAAGTCTGTTTTGCATACTTCCATGAAATTGCACCGCCACCTAGAGTAAAAACATAACCACTAGTAGAGCTCACTTCATCATTATCAGTTACCCAATTTGCATCACAATAACCTTCTAAAACTGCAGGATAACCAACAAAATGTAAACCCAAATTCATAGTACCTTTGAGATATTTAAGAAGCCTTTTAAGAGCATGCCAATGCTCGCTACTTGGGTTATGAGTGTAGCGACTGAGTCTACTAACAGCATATGCAATATCAAGGCCGAGTACAATTCATCAAGAACATTAAACTACCAATTATTTTAACATACTCACTTTGAGAAACACTAATTCCTTTATGTTTCTTCAAAGGTACACTAGCATCATAAGGTGTTCTTACCGGCACTTCATCAAAACAATTAAATTTCCTCAAAATTTTTTCAATATAATGTGATTGAGATAAAGTGAAGCCTTTATCAATTTTATTGGCTTTAATGCCCAAGATAACATCAACTTCACTTAAATCTTTCATTTCAAAATGAGAGGATAAAAATTGTTTGGTTTCATTTATGACATTCATACATGAACCAAGAATTAACATATCATCNTTATGTTTCTTCAAAGGTACACTAGCATCATAAGGTGTTCTTACCGGCACTTCATCAAAACAATTAAATTTCCTCAAAATTTTTTCAATATAATGTGATTGAGATAAAGTGAAGCCTTTATCAATTTTATTGGCTTTAATGCCCAAGATAACATCAACTTCACTTAAATCTTTCATTTCAAAATGAGAGGATAAAAATTGTTTGGTTTCATTTATGACATTCATACATGAACCAAGAATTAACATATCATCAACATATAAGCAAATAATCACACAATCATTGCCAAACATTTTGTGATAAACACAGGTATCTGATCCATTAGAAATAAATCCAAAACTGAGAATTGTGTTATTGAATTTTTCAAACCATTGTTTTGGGGCTTGCTTTAAACCATACAAGGATTTCTTAAGTCTGCATACCTTGTTCTCCTAGCCTAGAACAACGAACCCCGAAGGTTGCTCCATATAAATTTCTTCTTCAAGTTCACCATTCAAAAATGCAGTTTTAACATCCATTTGATGTACCAATAAATTATGCATTGAAGCTAAAGCAAATAAAGCACGAATAGTAGCAATTTTAGCCACAGGTGAATAAGTGTAGAAGAAATCAACCCCAAACTTTTGTGTGAAGCCTTTAACTACAAGGCGTGCATTAAACCGTTCAATTGACCCATCGGGTCGTATTTTCTTTCTAAAAACCCATTTGCTCTTAATGGGCTCAAAGCCCTTAGGCAAATCCACAAGTTCCCAAGTGTTATTGAACATAATAGATTCTAGCTCGCTATTTATAGCATCTTTCCAAAAGTTAGCATCAATCGACCTCATGGCTTCCTCATAAGTCTTAGGATCTTCTTCGATCAAAAAGGTTTGAACCAAAGACTCATCAATATAATCATAATTATCAATCTCAGCCAAAAATGTTGTTAAAAAATCAGGACCAAAATTTGTTTCAATCTTACGCCTTTTGCTTTTCCTGATTTCAGTTACCTCATTATTTTTAGATGGAACAGAAGCAGATGCAAAATTAGGAGCTGATAAAATAGGACGTAAAATGTCCTTCTTCAGTGGAAAAATATGTTCAAAAAATTCAGCATCCCTAGATTCACATATAGAACGATCATTGAGGCACATAAATCTGTAAGCAGCACTATTATAAGCATAGCAAATAAAAACAGCATCAAAAGTCTTAGACCCAATATTAGGACGTTTAAAAGCCGGCAAACCTACTTTTGCAAGACACCCCCACACTTTAAAATATTTGAGATTAGGAGCATAACCCTTCCAAATTTCATAAGGGGTCTTGTCTAGCTTTTTATGTGGAACACGATTAAGAATATGGTTTGCAGAAAGTACCGCTTCCCCCCACATTTCATCAGGTAAACCAGAACTCAAAAGCATAGCATTCATCATTTCTTTAAGAGTTCTATTTTTCCTTTCTGCAATTCCATTTTGTTGTGGAGTATAAGAAGCAGTATATTCATGGATTATGCCATTTTTCTCACAAACATCCTTTAAAAAATTTGTGCTATATTCTCCACCTCTATCAGATCTAAGTCTCTTAATTTTCCTGTCTAGCTGATTTTCAACTTCTGCTTTATATATTAAAAATATATTCTCAGCTTCATCTTTAGTTCTCAGAAGGTAAAGTTTGGTAAATCTAGAGCAATCATCCACAAATGAAATATAATAAAATTTACCACCTCTACTTTGAGTATTTTTGAAATCAGCTAAATCCGTATGAATTAATTCTAACAATTCAGATTTTCTTTCTCTCACGCATTGAAAGGGCTTCCTAGCATGCTTTGATTCAACACAAATTTCACATTTAGAGAAACCACTTTCAATCATGTTAGGAATTAAATTTAAAGATTTAAGGCGTTTCAGAGAATGAACATTTACGTGTCCTAGTCTACCATGCCACAAATCAATAGACTCAGCAATATAAGCAGAAGTAGAAGCTTTATTCATGTTGTTAACAGAAACATCCAAAACAAACAATCCACCAGAGAGATACCCTTTCCCCACATACTCCCCATTACGGGTCAGAACAAGCTTGTCAGCTTCAAAGACCAACTTAATACCAGCCTTATTAAGTAAGGCTCCTGAAATCAAGTTCCTACGAAGGGAGGGGACATAAAAAACATTTGACAACGATAAAGATTTTCCAGAAGTTAATTTAAGAAGAACCTTTCCTTTGCCAAGCACATCTGCGCTATTTGAATTTCCCATGAACACCTTCTCGATTTCGGCAGACTCATCAAACTCAACGAATAGCTCTTTATTAGCACAGAAATGGCGAGAGGCCCCGGTGTCCACTATCCACTCAACATGGTTCTCAACCATGTTCACTTCAGAAACTACGGCAGTAATGATGTCATCATGCTCGACAACATTAGCTTGAGGATTGTGGTGAACATTTCCATCCTTGTTTTTGTCAAATCTCTTAAAGCAGCGATTAGCCTTATGACCTGTTTTACCACACACAAAACAAGCACCATTATTTTTCTTTTGAATCTGTCCACCATGGTTCTTGAAGTGTTTATTTCCAGGTTTCTTGAAGGACTTCTTATTCGATTTGAAAGAGCCGGAGGAATTCCCTTTAGACCTGTGATTATTGCCATTTGAAGATTCAATGAGGTTAGCTTTAACAGGAGGTAAAACAGAATAGGACAGTGACTTATCCTTGAGGCGATTTGCCTCTTCAATTTTGATGTGGTAGACTAATTCGTCTAGTGGCATGTCTCGTTTCTTATGCCTTAATTTTTTGCAGTATTCTGCCCATGATTGTGGCAGCTTCTCAATGAGAACATTTGCTTGCAAAATTTCGCACATCGTCATCCCTTCGGCCAGGACATCAAAAACCAGATTCTCGTATTCATGGACTTGGTCCATGATTGATTTGTCATCCACCACTTGAAAACGCAGCCATTCTCCGGTGACATACTTGCGCTTTCCAGCATCATCCGCCCCGTACTTCTTCTGCAATGTCTCCCAAATTGACTTTGCGGACTTGTTCGGAATGAACAAATCAAACAATGGATTTGTCATGTGACTAAGAAGATGACCACGAACTGTTTTGTTGTCTTTCTCGTACTTTCTTTTGGCTTGGTCATCTCCCTTAGCCTTGTCTTTGGAAGCAGTGCGTTTGGACTTCTCTGGAGCGGCAACGGCTTTGGTAGCTGCGGCATCGGCAGTTGCAGCGGTGGAGTCGTCGGTGGTGTTGACATCTTCAACAAAATCAGTTGGGGTGTCTTCGAACAAGACGTAGTCTACCTTAAGTTGTTCGAAGAATATTAGCATCTTCTGCGACCACCGGCGGTAGTTCTTTCCGTCGAGCGGCTCGAGTTTGGAGAGGTCTGGAAGAAGTTTGTTGAGAGCAAAAGCCATTTTCGCAGCACTAAAGGAATCGTTTCTAAATTGTTGGTTCGGTACTGCCGGTCTCCTCTTGTGCTCCTGCCAAGGATTTCTTCTTGCGCCTGAGATTTAAACAAAAACAGAGAGAGTGAAGCGTCGTGCCGTGGATTAATACCACTGCCTTAGAAACGATTTCGCCTTCACCGGTGCGGTTGATCAAAGGCGTCGTCCCCCAAGGATAACACGGAAGCCGGCCTTTTTGCGCACCCACAGAAGCTGGAAGGAACTGTACAGATTATGCTCAGCAAAGGGAAATAAAAATCTGCAGAAAATTTGCATAAGGGATTTTCATATGGAGTAGTAGCAAAGGGAAGAAAAATCTGCAGAATGAATTTGCATATGGAGTAGTTTTCGTTTTGGTTTTTCCCTGGTAATGCACCTCTGCCAAAACTCAATAAATAAGCAAAAGGAGATGGAGAGGTTATTGTGGTTGAGAAGTTTGTGGGAAAGTTGAAGAAGTGTACGGTGATGCCAAAAAGTAGGAGTCAATTTGAATTGATCCACTCACTCCACCAATTTGAAAAATAAAAGGATTAACACTTCTTTGACTAAGTAAAATTAAACAATTAAAATTAAATGAAAAGAATTAGTCAAAATAAAAGAACCTCCAGAAGGGCCTTGCATTACACAACATACATATGTTTTAAGTCACTATGTAGTAATAACTCCTATAATTTAGAATCCCAATGATCTATTCCCCTAACCGCACACCTCAATCTACCCTCCCCATTGTTGTATCGATTTATGCTGTTCATGTTTCTGCCAGGTGTTTTCTCAATTGTCTTCATCACCAAGATAGTCTATACATTATGTTTTCATCTTTCTATTGTCCATTTCACAATTGTCTTTGCCGCAACAAAGTTACGTACATGTTCTTAGATTTGATGGGTATTGGTACAATAACGGTGACTTAAATTGCAAAGGCTTTCATGAGATTGATGTTCATTATGGGTTGACTGTTGAAGAACTGGTGCATTTAATTTGCTACACAATTTCATAGTATGCTGAAAAATATTGATTCTATAATTTCTTACATTGTCGATTCTCATCTCATGCATACTTTTATTCATTATTATTCAAGTCTTGATTTGAATCTTTGGGTGAAATTAATTCATGGTGATTTGCATGAGTTTCCCTTGTACGTAGAGTTATGGTCTAATTCAGAGTCTACTATATATCCAAGATAATTCACCATTGAATGATGATTTTGAGTATGATGGCTCTGTATCTGATCAAGAATTGTCTCGAAATAGTTCGAATAGTCATTACTTTGTTAACAAAACCATGACCTCTTTCCCACCTTCATTATTTGATACATTTACAGCCAAAACACAGGTCCAGAACGACATGTTGGTGCCCAGTGTGTTAGTGATCTTTCTTTGATTGTCTTGTTTGAGTCCATCCTTTGCACTCTTTCATCATATGAGATTGCAATGTTAAGGGATTTAAAGGTAATTTGTTATTTTGAACCAACTAAGATTGCATTTGATGTGATATTTGAGGAATCTGATATGCTTAAAAACAGTTAATTGGACTTCGTTAGAGTATATTTTTAGTTTGCTATATGCCTTTAGTTTTTGCATGATCAAGAGTTCTTGAGGGATAAGAGATAATAATCATCGGATTCATAAGAGCATTTGATTGGCAAAAGGTTCTTTTCACATGAATTCATTTGGTCGATACAAGACAAATTGACTTTAGACACCATTACTCGTGAGTCAGATAAAAAGTTTGAAGATACCATTAGTGAGGTGAAGAAGTTTTTGCTTTCTCTACTTAACATGCACGCATCAGATGGATGCTTACCTTCTTAGATGATTCAAACAACCACTACTAATGGTACTCATAAATTTCTAGTTTCACTAGACGTGAATTTTGTTTTACCATTGACATAAGTTGAATGAAATTGGCAGAAACAAAGCAAAAAAAGAGCAAACAAAAATGCTATTGTTAGCAATGATGTGGATGGGTATAGTGCTGCACATGCAATTGAAGGGAATGATAGCTCAAGTTTTGACATTTTGAATTAGTGGAGAGTGAACGGGGCTTCTTAGTACCCAATTTTGGCATGCATTGCAATAGAGGTTCTAGCGATTTTGGTATCCACGATTGCTTCTGAATCATGTTTTAGCACTAGTGATCGAGTGATTAATCCGTTTTGTAGTTCATTGAGCCCCAAAATGGTTGAGGCCTTAATTTGCAGACAAAATTAGCTTAGGAGTACTCATGCTACTTTACATCACGAGTCCATAATTGAAGAGATGGAATTTCATAAACTTGAGAAAGGTGATTTTTTTAAGTGTTTTAGAATGAATTTCTTTCTTCTACTGTTTGTTACTTTATTCGTTATTTTGGCAACAATGTTTGTTAATTGTTTTTTTAATCTTTCTGTTTAAAAAATTCAAATGAAGGTGGAATTAAGTGTCTAAATTGCCTCCAAAAATTGCAAGATAAAGGAAAAAGGTTAGGCCTTCTAGTTATGGCAACCCTAATTGTTTTCGTATCATGTTAATATTTTTACTAGTATATCCTAGCTAATAAGAATACATATAAGGGCCTGTTTGGTGAGGAGGGGAGATATGGGTTTGCATATAGGAGATATCAATTTTAAAAAAAATGTTTGGTGAGAAAAAAAGAAATTAAAATTTGAAATCCTGTTGAAGGAATTTGTAAATTAGTGTGCTGTTGTGTAGATAGAATTTGCTTTATATTGTGTAATAAGTTGTACTGGCCCGTGGGCCTTCTCTTGTAAAACCCTACGAAGCTCTTCCCTATATAAGGGAGCTATTATCAATAGAGAAATACTATACTCTGTATATACTCTATTTTTTGGTATGTGATTTAGATTCTCGTAAATTAATAATTTCATTAAAAAAAGTAATTGTAGTCCTACTCATATGATTGAAAGTCAAACATTTCCTTAGTGTCTTGCTGTGTAATAATTGATAGTTTCCAAATTTCCAATCACATCCCTAATTTACATCAATTCTGTATTTATCAATTTTATATTTGCAATGTTTAAATGCCCAGATAACAATTTCTCTTAGTAAAGAAAACGTAAATTTGACAGTGTATTATTATAATTATTCACATCATTATTATTTATTGAAGAAAAATGTTTTATTGATTTTTTTTAAACAAAAAAACCCCAATGGCCAATATTTAAGCCTTAATTTTTTAGAATCATCCCGATGTGTGATTATGCATATTTCGTATTTTTTTCCATAGTATATGCATCATGGAGTGCTCACCATTTTTTTTATCCATTCTAAAAATGGAATTAGATCCGTACCTCATTATTATTATCATTATTAGTTTTTTTCATAAATTAAAATTTTATGTTAATTAGAAAACTATATGGACTATTGCTTTTGATTGAAATTAAATTTTTTCTCTTTACTTCATGTATCATATATATTTTCATGATTATTTTATCTCAATCATGAATTTTGCAACTAAAAGAATTACACTTTAGCCTAAATTTCAATACAATTGTTGTCATCCATGATTAATGATTACGGACCATATATTGCTTGGATTTTTTTTTAGAAATGGTTCATCCAATTGAACCCAAATATGCCATTTTAGACTCAAAACTGATCGAGTTCTATGACTAATACATATTGCTTTTGACTAAGAAATTTCGTATATAACAAAAAGGGGAGAGCATTAATTATATGATAAAAACTCTCATTTCAAGATATCAATTTACTTATGATTGTTTATTTGCAATTTATCTAGAAATGACTGATCCCACTAGACCTGAATTTGACATCTTTGACTCAGAAGGACTTGAGTACCACTGTTGGGTTTCTGACGTAGAAATGGCTTTCGTGGCTAAAGACTTCTCTGCCACACTTAAAGACCCCAGTGAATTGAAAGATGCACCATCTGAAAAAGTGAAAGCAAATGCTTTAATGTTCCTAAGGCGACACATTGACCCAAGTTTACGTTGGGAATATCTTCAGTTGAAAACCCCCAAAGAACTGTGGGATGCCCTTAAGGGACGTTTTGGAAACATTCATGATACTCTGCTCCCAGAACTGAATGCGCAATGGAATGAAATCCGTTTGCTAGACTATAAACGGACAAATGACTTTGTCAAAGATATGTTGCGTCTTAAGGCACGTCTCATCTTTTGTGGTAAGCCAATTACCGAAGATGACATGATTCAAAAGACTCTTGACACATTTCCTACCTCATCCATGATACTAGCGAACCAATACAGGATAGAGTATGAAAACAAAAGAATTACCACATTCTACAAGTTGATGAATATGCTGCAATCAGCAGAAAAGCACAATGAAGTCCTTGTGAATAACAATGCTCGGCCTGTCGGGACAAAGAAAATTCCTGAAGCCAATTATGGGAAAATAAAACATGGCAGGCATCCCAATGAAAAGGGACCTCGACGTGCCAACCCTTACCCACGTGGAAATAACTCTAATCGTGGTAAGGGTCGTGGTGGTCGTGGTAGAGGTCGTGGAGTATCTTCTAATGTTTGGCGAAGAGAGTCAAATGATGGACCGAGTGGCCACACAAACAAGAAGTCAAATGCATCCAACCCTCCTGTGATAAAGAATGAGCCATGTTACCGATGTGGAGTTAGCGGACACTGGTACAAGCATTGTCGCGCTAGTAACAAAGTTGCAGCTTGCTACAAGAAATATCTCCAATCTAAAGAGCATGAATCTCAATATTTGGATGAAGAAGGCAATGACGCTGATGTCAATCTTACCCTTGCACACTTTACGAACAAGGGGGATAATGTGCACTCAATGGATACACCTGATTTTGATTGATACACTTTATTCATTCTCTCCATGCATGATGTTTTTTTGAATAATTTCTTTTATGTTTCTGCCAATTTCCTAGGAGTGTTTCGAAGACTATTTATTGCATTTTTGGACTATGTGGAATTGTTTTAAATTTGCATTCAATTTAAATAAATTAAGGGACTTAAGCCCCTATTTTTATATGCATTGTGTGTTCCAGTTCTATATGCAATACTTTCATTACACAGGAATGAATCGAGGTGAAGTTGAGTGCTTAATAGATAGTGGGACTACCCATACAATTTTGCGAAATAGGCAAC